AGATAGATAGATAGATGGATGGATGGATGGATAGATAGATAGGATAGATAGGGTAGATAGGGTAGATAGATAGATAGATAGATAGAAAGATAGATAGATAGATAGATCGATAGATCGATAGATAGATAGATCGGTCGAAAGAATGATAGATAGATAGATAGATAGATAGGATGGTTGGATAGATAGATAGATAGATAGGTAGGGAGATAGAAAGATAGATAGATAGATAGATAGGAAGAAAGATAGATAGATAGGTAGATGGATAGATAGATAGATAGGATAGATAGGATAGATAGGATAGATAGGATAGATCGGATAGATAGGATAAATAGGATAGATAGGATAGATAGGATAGATAGGATAGATAGGCTAGATAGGCTAGATAGGATGGATAGATAGATGGATAGATAGCTAGATAGATAGATAGATAGGTAGATAGATCGATAGATCGATAGATCGATAGATCGATAGATCGATAGATAGATAGATAGATAGAAAGATAGATAGATGGATAGATCGATAGATCGATAGATAGATCGAACAATAGATAGATAGATAGATAGATAGATAGATAGATGGATAGATAGATAGATGGATAGATGGATAGATGGGTAAATGGATAGATGGATAGATGGATGGATGGATAGATAGATAGATAGATGTGTGGTGGATGGATAGATAGAGAGAGATATAGAGATAGAGACAGAGATAGAGAGATATAGAGATAGAGAGATAGAAAGATAGAGATGGGGATATGTAGAGATTTAAATATATATATACTGTATTTAAATATAATTAAATATATAGATAAATAGATATTATCTTTTTAGATTTGAATATCATGTCAATATTAAACAATAGATCACATAGTATCACACCTACAGCTTGGTCCAACGCATCCAAGTTCAACCAGTTCAACCAGTTAACCGTAACGACTGCGGTGACTGCAGCGCCTCTTGGATGTCGGGCTTCAAATCCAAGAGTTCAAACACGCGCTGCCCAGCACCTGGCATCACTTTGCAGCGGTGTAAATTGGGGACCGAACAGGTAACCAGGTGAACCAAAGTGGCCCATGTTTGGTCCGTTTTGGTCCCTGAGTTCTTGGAATTGAAAGCTCCGGACCTTGGGTATGCTGTATAGTTCATTGTTTTCTTGCACCACGGATGACCACGTTGTTTTTGCCGGCGCTTGGTCACTTGGTCACTTGGCACTGGGAGGCCATGTGCAAACTCATGCACTATCCATTTGCATTCCACTAGTCACTGCGTATGGATCAGCCTGGAGGTTTTCTTTGATGCCACTGAACGCACTGAATTAACCAACTGTATCCAAACAAGCACCAACCTCGCGCAACAAAATGACATTGTGTGACAATATGTGATCATATGTGATAGTGTAATACCAATGTTACATATTGTTAACTTTGGTGTGCAGCTGTGCGCATCCCTTCCATTGTTTTGGCGGCGACGCACACCACAGTGTTGGAGCCACCCAGAGCTGGATCTCTACATGGTCCTGTACATGTGGTCAGACCTTCCAGCCCCGGGTGGAGTGGGTGCGTACCCGTTTCAAAGCTCGACACAAGAAACTACGGATGCCCCCACCTTACCACAAAAGTAACACTTACGGTTCTAAGTTCCAACTTTGGTGTGCAGCTGTGCGCATCCCTTCCATTGTTTTGGCGGCGACACACACCACAGTGTTGGAGCCACCCAGAGCTGGATCTCTACATGGTCCTGTAGTCAGACCTTCCAGCCCCAACCAGCTTCCATTCACGACCCTTCGGTCGTCCTCCACCATCCTTGGTGGGGGCAAATTCTCCTCACCTCCTTTTCTCTATGTCCTGTGCATGTCTCCTCACACATGCACTGACTCCTCGATCCTTACTCCTCTCATCCCTCTCTGAGCCTCTGGCTTGCGCTCTCCTCACACCTCCTCACGCATGCACCAACTCCTCTCCTCGGGCTCTGGCCCTCCTCTTCTGCCTCTCTGTGCCGCGGCTATGTGTGTTTAACATTGACATCCGCCATCCTTCTAGAGGCATCCGTAACGGTACCCGCATCTTGGAGGTACCTGTGTACGGCCGAGGACGTCCAGCGGCCCATCCTTTTGACTAATTTCGATGTCTGAGGTGGCCTGGTACAAGGCCGTTGCCCCGCCAACCCTCAGACTGTGCGAAAGGAAACGGTCCTTCGGAAGACCAACTCCGTCCGCTGCAGATTGCAAAAAGTGTTGCACCTCCAATCTCCTCAATACGCCTCCTGCAGCCCATCGGAACAGGGGTTGTTGGGCCAAAAGCGCTTCATCCTGCTGAGGCTCTCCACCGGGCACAAGAATTTCCTCCCTGTGGCTTTCACGGTTTTTCCCTCACCAAAGCCCCCTTGGTCTTCTTGAACTGAATTGTCACCTCCTCAGGGTCCTCCTCGGCCGTGAGTCCATCAGTTGCAAGGCGTACATCGCAGCCACGTAGGATCATATCCTTGTCGACCCCGTTTGATTCTGCGAACTCCTTGCATCTCAGCATGAAGAACCACGCCGTTGACAAGGCTGCGAAAGCCATCGAAGCATCGGCCGCAGCTGGCGAACATCCCTTTGGCTCCTCCGGCCCAATCAACTCCTTGCCGAGACATTGTAGCATCTCATTGCGTGACCCCCAACCGCGGAGGACGCCGGGTCGTAGAACGTCGATCCAGGCCCCCCAGCAAGATCCACACCCGGTGCATGCCATCCAGGACATCCCCGGCCCCCACACGCTTGTGGGCCATCTTGATGGCGTAGATGTTCTGCCTGATGGTGTTCACCGACGCTCCCAGCCAGCCCAAGTAGCCCACAAAACCTAACAGCTTGTTCTCCCGCTCGACCGTGCTTTCCGACCTGTCCAAATACTCTGACAACCATCGCTGTCTCCTCGCCCATGCTCGCCACTTCGCCCACACACCACCATAGGCCTTCTCCGTGGCCGGACTTTTGTCTCCCTGCATGTTCTCCTCCAACCTGCCTAGGGTGACGAGGCGAGTGGTGAGCCGAGGAAGGTAGCGACGAAAGGAGCGGGCCAGCGGCCGACAGGCGGGGAGCGAAGCGTGGGGCGTGGGCGGCTCACTTCACTTACGCCGCCCGGTCACTCTCTTCTCACTCCCCTTTCGCCCTCCGTCCTCCGGACCGCGTCCCGCGGGGCGAAAGGTGGTGAGAAGGAGAGTGACGTAAGGAACGAATGGCGGGCCCAGCGACCTCTTCTGCAATCTTGCGCGGCTTGCGGCCCCCTGCCCGGCAGTCTTCATCCGCCTCGTCCTCACTGGACGTGATCTCATCGTCCAGCATTGATATCCACCAAGCCTCTGTCCATCGGTTGGCCCAAAAGACCTGCTCCACCTCGTCCTCTCCTCCTGCTCTCCGCCCGTAGTCTCCTCTTCGCCATTTGCGGGGCCAAACCAAAATTTGAGAGCAAGTGATTGTGGTCCTTCAACCTCGGCACACATTCCGGCCTTGGTGGCCCTCTCCTCCATGATCATCTCCATCACATCACCTGCCCATAGGAGAAGACTTGCCGCCGACGCCGACTGAGCACCTGTCGCTCGGCATCCTTCACACACCATCTGCTCCATCAGCGTGCCCTTGTTCAGGTCGACCACCGACCGGCCCTGTAGCTTCCAGATCTCCTCCGACGTGAGCTGGCACAAATGACCTGGGGGCCTCTTCCGATCGAAAACGTAGACTGGTTCGACTCCGGCCGCATGCTCCTTCAACTTCGGCCACAAGGTCCATCCATACCGTGGCAGGTCCCACGTTCTCCATCTTCTTCCAACACATAGTGCCCAACCGGCCCTGGAGCATCCGGTCCCGGGGTACGCCACTCTCCAGTTCCAGCCTCATGGGTTTCCGCCACACGAGGTCTTCCCAGGATCTTTGGCGTAGCACCGTGTTGATGGGCGCGGTTCCTACTCGCACCAGACCTTCCCGCCATCTTTCTGGTAGATTTCCCGCAGTCCGTACCATCAAACACGACCGTACCATCAAACACCTCCTTCTCCTCGCCATTGCCTCACCAAGCTCTGCCCAAAAGATCAGGTTAGGCAATTTCCTGCCTAATAGTTAATTCCTTATTTCCTACCTAATTAGGTAATTTTTAAGGTAAAAAGGTAACCTAATTTTAAGGTAATTCGGCACGTGGGGTCGAAAGTTTGCGTGCAAACTTGCGGGGCGGGGCTGAAAGTGGGTCAAGGGCACCAAGGAAAACTCCAACATGGAAATGGGCACCATCACCCATGCTTCCTTCAAAGTACCATGCTTCCAGAATTCCAAGCCCTTGGCTGCCAATGAGCTTTTGCAGTAGCAGTACCAGAAGGCAGAGGACACCCAAGAGGACATTCCTGCCCAAGGGAGCCAAGGCAGCGCACCTAAGAAGAGAAGGACCACTTGATTGAAACCAAAAAGGCTTAGCAAGGGTGCACATTTGTTTCTTCCAAATCTGGTGGAGAAAAAAGCTGCTGCTGCATGCTGGGTGCCTTGAGGCATTGCATACCAGTTCCTGGGAATGCATATTCCATTTTAAGTTTTTGTAGCATCAATATCTTTTACTTTGGTAATTTTGCCTGTGGAGGCTAAGCAGTTTGGAATTGGGCAGCCAAGTGGCATTCCACTGTGATTTTTTTCCAGCTTCATTTCTTTATAGGATGTTGCACCAGCTACTTATTGCCTACTTTAGCACCATATCCATGTATATAGGCACCAGTTGTATTCACCCCCAGTTGTATCATATCCAGCTAGTTGCCCTTTGTGGCATTGCATTTTCTTACCCAATAATTTTGATAAGGCCAGCCAAATTGTGGAATTGCAGTTTTAGCCAGCATGGCATTGCATGCAACAATCATGTCATAGCCACACATGGCATTTCAAGTGTGTAGCCATATTTGGCATTCCAGTGCTTGGCCAGTGACCTTGGCCATTTCAAGTGTTTGCAATTGCAGCCACTGCTCTAAGCGTAGGATCATATCCTTGTCGACCCCGTTTGATTCTGCGAACTCCTTGCATCTCATTATGAAGAACCACACCGTTGACAAGGCTGCGAAAGCCATCGAAGCATCGGCCGCAGCTGGCGAACATCCCTTTGGCTCCTCCGGCCCAATCAACTCCTTGCCGAGACATTGTAGCATCTCATTGCGTGACCCCCAACCGCGGAGGACGCCGGGTCGTAGAACGTCGATCCAGGCCCCCCAGCAAGATCCACACCCGGTGCATGCCATCCAGGACATCCCCGGCCCCCACACGCTTGTGGGCCATCTTGATGGCGTAGATGTTCTGCCTGATGGTGTTCACCGACGCTCCCAGCCAGCCCAAGTAGCCCACAAAACCTAACAGCTTGTTCTCCCGCTCGACCGTGCTTTCCGACCTGTCCAAATACTCTGACAACCATCGCTGTCTCCTCGCCCATGCTCGCCACTTCGCCCACACACCACCATAGGCCTTCTCCGTGGCCGGACTTTTGTCTCCCTGCATGTTCTCCTCCAACCACTCTTCCACTCCACTCGGTCTCCAAAAACTTCTCCACAAAATGGCCTCACAGCCAGCCCTACACCGGTGACAAACTGCTTCGAGACCACCTCAGCGACCTCTTCTGCAATCTTGCGCGGCTTGCGGCCCCCTGCGCGGCAGTCTTCCTCCGCCTCGTCCTCACTGGACGTGATCTCATCGTCCAGCATTGATATCCACCCTGAGCATCCGATATTGATTACAATCAATATATTTTTCCAAAAAAAATATCGATATTGATTTTACTAAAAAATCAAAATAAATATCAATATAATGCTTTTGAAGCTTCAAAATCAATATAAAAAGTTGGACCAAGTCTTTTTATTGATATCCACTTTGGACCAAAAAAGAGTCTCAAAAAGGGGAAGCTTGGTCCCAGGCTGGAAACTGGCACATCCTTTGAGAAAGGGACAGCTGCAAGCAGCAGCAATGCTGCACCCCTTGAAAAAGGGAAAAAAAAACTTCTTGAAAAAGAGGAGGCAGCAGCCCTTGAAAAAGGGCAATTCCTTGAAAAAGGAAATGTTGCCAAAAAGGTGGCAGTTCTGGAGTCAAAGACTGCCACCAACAAGCAGGCAAAATCCCTGGCAAAAGGGAAGGAGACTGCAGCCCTTGAAAAAGGGTCAGAAAAGAAGCAGTCCCCTGAAGCCCAATCAGAACCTTTGGCTGTGTTGGTTGATTGGCACCATTGCCTGAAAAATGGTCCCCAGGACTCAGGACACTGTGCTGGTCCAGGACCTCATGGCCCTGCAGAAGCTCCTTGACAAAGGAGTGGAGGTGCATGTGCTCTCCTTCTGTGGGGCCAAGCAAATCACCAAAGTTGAAAAGGAAATGTGGGACAAGCTCCCAGATCTCATTGAACAACTTCACTGGTGGGGATGCTGCACCAGTCGCACTGGGGTGGGGGGCAAGGCAGAGTATGCCACAGAGTGGGGCTGCCAGGTGGCCTTTGATGATTCAAAGGACATCTTGCAAGAGCTGGGCTCATGGGGTGTCAAAACCTATGGCATCCAGACACCAGAGAGAGCCATGCATGGATGCCAGAAAACTCCAGGTTTGCATCCTTTGCAGACGCAGTGAAGCAGTTCATCAGGGATTACAATCTTTGAGACTGCTTCCAGCCCTTGCAAAAGGGTGCTCTGCAAAACCCTTGAAAAAGGGTATGGCTCTCACATGGCAACCCTTGAAAAAGGGTAGGTGTCTAGCCCCAACCCTTGCAAAAGGATAACCCTTGAAAAAGGGTAAGTGTCCCCACCCCCAAGGATAACCCTTGAAAAAGGGTAGGTGACTGGCCCCAATCCTTGCAAAAGGATACCCCTTGAAAAAGGGATGTCTCACCCCAAGCCTTGCAAAAGGATACCCCTTGAAAAAGGGACAGTGTCTCACCCCAATCCTTGCAAAAGGATAACCCTTGCAAAAGGATCAAATAAGAGCAACCCCTGCAAAAGGGTCATGTGGCTCAGGTCTACACACAGCATTTGCAATAACAAATGCATGTATTTACACACACATACACACATACACACATACATACATACATACATACATATATATATAGGTGTGGTGATATTAAAAAAACACTGTGTGTTTCTGTTTGCTGTGTGTTAACCTGAGCCATAGCTCAGCCCTTGCAAAAGGGCCACTTGTAGCTGCAGCCCAACAGTGGTTTGTACAGAAGCTACCAAATGTGTAGCAAGCAGCAAAAAATGAAATAAATAAATATAAATAAATCAAAATAGTTAAATAATTAATGTATTGAATATAAATACATGCAACTTTACACAACCTGTTTTTTAAATTAAGAACCTTTGCCATGGACATATGCCTTTTGAAAACCTGATGTTTTTTGAGTTTTGTATGGGCCCTAAAACAACAAAGCAAGGAAACACAGATACTATTGGAAAAAAAGGCACACCAAATTAAACATTATCCCTTGCAAAAGGGACATCACAAACATTCAAGATTTAAGGTGGCAAGGTTCAATTTTGTAAACTGGGATGTTTTCTCAAATGCTGTTTGGTGTCTGTTTCAGGCTGCAGGCACATGATTATGTTTCTGTTGACTCTGCAGTTTCTTGACCCAAGCAAATCCCACAATGATATTTGAAACAGCATAGAAACACAGAGTACTAAACTGTTTGACCCAAAATTAAAAACCAGTGAATTCATACCTGAAAAAACATGAATTAAGCTTGATTTTTTATATAATATGTTAAGACGCAGTTGGGAAAATCCTTAATTGCAAAAATAAGTGTTCAAATTATTTATTTTAAGGGTCAGACACAAATAGTATCTGGAATCTATCTCAAACTATACAATGTATTTTCAAAAATATTTCCAGTATAGTTTCAATATAGTCCAATACAGGTTTGACAGTGAAATGTTGCCTTACTGTTTTGTTGTGTACACAAAAAACATTGAAATATATTTAAATTATTTGTTTTGGTTTTGAAAGGGTTTATAAATTGAAAAAAAATGTTTTAAAAATATTAGTGCCAATCCAATCCTATCCAATTCTATCAGTTTATTTGTTTTTTAACAGGCTCATCAAAACATTCAAGGCTTTGAAAATAAAAATTGAACTTTGATAAAATTTGATGAAAACATAGTTTTCATCAGATTTCATCAAATTTCATCAAAGTTCATCAAAAAAATCAAGGTTTCGAAAAAAGAAATGAACTTTGATGAAATTTGATGAAATTTGGTGAAAACATGGTTTTTCATCAAATTTCATCAAAGTTCATCAAAAAAACAAGGTTTTGAAATAAAAAATGAACTTTGATGAAATTTGATGAAATTTGATGGAATTTGATGGAATTCGATGAAAACATGGTTTTTCATCAAATTTCATCAAAGTTCATCAAAGTTCATCAAAAAAATCAAGGTTTTGAAACAAGAAATGAACTTTGATGAAATTTGATGAAATTTGATGAAAACATGGTTTTCCATCAAATTTCATCAAGTTTCATCAAATTTCATCAAGGTTCATCAAAGTTCATCAAAATTCATCAAAACTAAATTCATTTGAAAAAATGCAACAACCAGTGATTGAAACCAGATTTAGATTTGCAACACCTCGAAAAAGTTGAAATTAATGTAGCCAATGATTGTTGAACATTGGTTTTGGTATTGAATTTATATGTGTTGTATGTTTGTTTGGTTAGTAACACCAATTTGTTTTGGTTTGGAAAATATTGAAAAACCCGTGTTTTGCTTAAATAAAAAAAATGTTTTAGCTATGTTTGTTTTATACTGTTTTGGTTTGTGTTAATGTATTGCTTTGGTTTGGTTGAAAAATCATGGGTTTTCTTCCACCTGCAAAATAATTAAATAATAAATATTCAATATAATTTAATATAATTGCATAAAAATTAATAAAATATATTTATATAAATAAATATATATATATATATATATATTTATACATATTTATTTATATTTATTTATTAATGAACATGCTTGTGTATGATATATGCATGGTGTTTTTTATTTGTTATGTAGTTTTGACAAGAAAACTATTTAAATGCATTTATGTTTGTTTTCTGCTTGTTTCTTTTTAAAAACAATTTTGTACACATATTGTACAAAACACACATATGCACACACACACACATGAACTAAACCCTTCATGCACCTGCAGCCATTTTAAACTTCAAACACGTTTAGGAAGAAAATGCCAATTTCCAAGATGGCAAAACCATTGAAAAAGAACATTTTGGAAAAACAAGCCCTTGCAAAAGGGCAAGCCCTTGCAAAAGGACAAGCCCTTGCAAAAGGACAAGCCCTTGCCAAAAGAACATCTCTTTGGCTCCTCCGGCCCAATCAACTCCTTGCCGAGACATTGTAGCATCTCATTGCGTGACCCCCTACCGCCGAGGACGCCGGGTCGTAGAACGTCGATCCAGGCCCCCCAGCAAGATCCACACCCGGTGCATGCCATCCAGGACATCCCCGGCCCCCACACGCTTGTGGGCCATCTTGATGGCGTAGATGTTCTGCCTGATGGTGTTCACCGACGCTCCCAGCCAGCCCAAGTAGCCCACAAAACCTAACAGCTTGTTCTCCCGCTCGACCGTGCTTTCCGACCTGTCCAAATACTCTGACAACCATCGCTGTCTCCTCGCCCATGCTCGCCACTTCGCCCACACACCACCATAGGCCTTCTCCGTGGCCGGACTTTTGTCTCCCTGCATGTTCTCCTCCAACCACTCTTCCACTCCACTCGGTCTCCAAAAACTTCTCCACAAAATGGCCTCACAGCCAGCCCTACACCGGTGACAAACTGCTTCGAGACCACCTCAGCGACCTCTTCTGCAATCTTGCGCGGCTTGCGGCCCCCTGCGCGGCAGTCTTCCTCCGCCTCGTCCTCACTGGACGTGATCTCATCGTCCAGCATTGATATCCACCCTGAGCATCCGATATTGATTACAATCAATATTTTTTCCAAAAAAATATCGATATTGATTTTACTAAAAAATCAAAATAAATATCAATATAATGCTTTTGAAGCTTCAAAATCAATATAAAAAGTTGGACCAAATACCTCTTTTTATTGATATCCACTTTGATTTTTATACTCATTTTCCTCTATTTTTATATTGATTTTGAAGCCTTGAAGCCTCCAAAATCAATATTTTATATTGATTTTGTGGTTGGTTTTTGACATGGTTTTGGGGTCTGGGAATGTGTTTGTCTCTACCCTGCCCCTTGCAAAAGGGTAGCCCTTGCAAAAGGGTGTTCCTTGTATTTCCTTTTGTGCCATGTTTGTTGTCCATATGTTTTTGTCTCTTTTCCTATGCTATGCTAAAGCAAACAAAACATGTTTAGTTGTTAAAACAAGCAAACTAAACACATGAACATGTCCTGCCTGCAGCCATTTTTGGTTCTGAGCCTAGCAGCTATGAGTAGGAAGAAGGAGAAGGAAGATGTGGACATGGAGGAGGAAGAAGAAGAGGAGGAGTGGGAGGAGGATGAGCCTTGGAGAAATTCCAAGGGAAGGAAGACTGGTGGGGGCACCACCTCTTGGGCTAGGCAAGCCAGAAGAGCTGCCAAGCAAGCCAAGAGGGTGGTGATGTCCACTGGCAAGCCCCTTGAAAAAGGGGACGAAGCCCTTGCAAAAGGGAAACCCCTTGAGAAAGGGAACAAAGCCCTTGCAAAAGGGACACCCCTTGAGAAAGGGAACAAAGCCCTTGCAAAAGGGCAATATGAAGCCAAGTGCCAGGAGCTGAAGGACAAGCTGATGAAGAGCCCCCAAAAGGGGAAGCTTGGTCCCAGGCTGGAAACTGGCACATCCCTTGAGAAAGGGACAGCTGCAAGCAGCAGCAATGCTGCACCCCTTGAAAAAGGGAAAAAAAACTTCTTGAAAAAGAGGAGGCAGCAGCCCTTGAAAAAGGGCAATTCCTTGAAAAAGGAAATGTTGCCAAAAAGGTGGCAGTTCTGGAGTCAAAGACTGCCACCAACAAGCAGGCAAAATCCCTGGCAAAAGGGAAGGAGACTGCAGCCCTTGAAAAAGGGTCAGAAAAGAAGCAGTCCCCTGAAGCCCAATCAGAACCTTTGGCTGTGTTGGTTGATTGGCACCATTGCCTGAAAAATGGTCCCCAGGACTCAGGACACTGTGCTGGTCCAGGACCTCATGGCCCTGCAGAAGCTCCTTGACAAAGGAGTGGAGGTGCATGTGCTCTCCTTCTGTGGGGCCAAGCAAATCCCCAAAGTTGAAAAGGAAATGTGGGACAAGCTCCCAGATCCCATTGACCAACTTCACTGGTGGGGATGCTGCACCAGTCGCACTGGGGTGGGGGGCAAGGCAGAGTATGCCACAGAGTGGGGCTGCCAGGTGGCCTTTGATGATTCAAAGGACATCTTGCAAGAGCTGGGCTCATGGGGTGTCAAAACCTATGGCATCCAGACATTGAGAGAGAGCCATGCATGGATGCCAGAAAACTCCAGGTTTGCATCCTTTGCAGAAGCAGTGAAGCAGTTCATCAGAGATTACAATCTTTGAGACTGCTTCCAGCCCTTGCAAAAGGGTGCTCTGCAAAACCCTTGAAAAAGGGTATGGCTCTCACATGGCAACCCTTGAAAAAGGGTGGGTGTCTAGCCCCAATCCTTGCAAAAGGATAACCCTTGAAAAAGGGTAAGTGCCCCCATCCCAAGGATAACCCTTGAAAAAGGGTAGGTGACTGGCCCCAACCCTTACAAAAGGATACCCCTTGAAAAAGGGATGTCCCACCCCAATCCTTGCAAAAGGATACCCCTTGAAAAAGGGACAGTGTCTCACCCCAATCCTTGCAAAAGGGTAATCCTTGCAAAAGGATCAAATAAGAGCAGCCCTTGCAAAAGGGTCATGTGGCTCAGGTCTACACACAGCATTTGCAATAACAAATGCATGTATTTACACACACATACATACATACATACATACATACATACACACATACAGACATACATACATACATACATACATACATATAGGTGTTGTGATATTTTAAAAAACACTGTGTGTTTCTGTTTGCTGTGTGTTAACCTGGGCCATAGCTCAGCCCTTGCAAAAGGGCCACTTGTAGCTGCAGCCCAACAGTGGTTTGTACAGAAGCTACCAAATGTGTAGCAAGCAGCAAAAAAAATGAAATAAATAAATATAAATAAATCAAAATAATTAAATAATTAATGTATTAAATATAAATACATGCAACTTTACACAACCTGTTTTTTAAATTAAAAACATTTGCCATGGACATATGCCTTTTGAAAACCTGATGTTTTTTGAGTTTTGCATGGGCCCTAAAACAACAAAGCAAGGAAACACAGATACTATTGGAAAAAAGGCACACCAAATTAAACATTATCCCTTGCAAAAGGGACATCACAAACATTCAAGATTTAAGGTGGCAAGGTTCATTTTTGTAAACTGAGATGTTTTCTCAAATGCTGTTTGGTGTCTGTTTCAGGCTGCAGGCAGATGATTATGTTTCTGTTGACTCTGCAGTTTCTTGACCCAAACAAATCCCACAATGATATTTGAAACAGCATAGAAACAGAGAGTACTAAACTGTTTGACTCAAAATTAAAAACCAGTGAATTCATACCTGATAGAACATGAATTAAGCTTGATTTTTTTTTTATATAATATGTTAAGATGCAGTTGGGAAAACCTTAATTGCAAAAATAAGTGTTCAAATTATTTATTTTAAAAGTCAGACACAAATAGTATCTGGAATCTATCTCAAATTATACAATGTATTTTCAAAAATATTTCCAGTATAGTTTCAATATAGTCCAATACAGGTTTGACAGTGACATGTTGCCTTACTGTTTTGTTGTGTACACAAAAAACATTGAAATATATTTAAATTATTTGTTTTGGTTTTGAAAGGGTTTATAAATTGAAAAAAATGTTTTAAACATATTAGTGCCAATCCAATCCTATCCAATTCTATCAGTTTATTTGTTTTTTTTAACATGCTCATCAAAAAAATCAAGGCTTTGAAAATAAAATTAAACTTTGATAAAATTTGATGAAAACATGGTTTTCATCATATTTCATCAAATTTCATCAAAGTTCATCAAAAGAATCAAGGTTTTGAAAAAAAACTGAACTTTGATGAAATTTGATGAAATTTGGTGAAAACATGGTGTTTCATCAAATTTCATCAAAGTTCATCAAAAAAATCGAGGTTTTGAAAAAAAATGAACTTTGATGAAATTTGATGAAATTTGATGAAAACATGGTTTTTCATCAAATTTCATCAAATTTCATCAAAAAAATCAAGGTTTTGAAAAAAAAAATGAACTTTGATGAAATTTGATGAAAAAAATTCATCAAATTTCATCAAATTTCATCAAGGTTCATCAAAGTTCATCAAAATTCATCAAAACTAAATTCGTTTGAAAAAAATGCAACAACCAGTGATTGAAACCAGATTTAGATTTGCAACACCTTGAAAAAGTTGAAATTAATGTAACCAATGATTGTTGAACATTGGTTTTGGTATTGAATTTATATGTGTTGTATGTTTGTTTGGTTAGTAACACCCATTTGTTTTGGTTTGAAAAATATTGAAAAACCCGTGTTTTCCTTAAATTAAAAAATGTTTTATCTATGTTTGTTTTATATTGTTTTGGTTTGTGTTAATGTATTGCTTTGGTTTGGTTGAAAAATCATGGGTTTTCTTCCACCTGCACAATAATTAAATAATAAATATTCAATATAATTTAATATAATTGCATAAAATTAATAATATACATTTATATAAATGAATATATATATATATATTTATTTATTTATTAATGAACATGCTTGTGTATGATATATGCATGGTGTTTTATATTTGTTATGTAGTTTTGACAAGAAAACTATTTATATGCCTTATCATATATTATATGTTTGTTTTCTGCTTGTTTCTTTTTAAAAACAATTTTGTACACATTTTGTACAAAACACACATATGCACACACACACATGAACTAAACCCTTCATGCACCTGCAGCCATTTTAAACTTCAAACACTTTTAGGAAGAAAATGCCAATTTCCAAGATGGCAAAACCATTGAAAAAGAAAATTTTGGAAAAGCAAGCCCTTGCAAAAGGGCAAGCCCTTGCAAAAGGACAAGCCCTTGCAAAAGGACAAGCCCTTGCCAAAGGGCAAGCCCTTGCCAAAGGGCAAGCCCTTGCCAAAGGGCAAGCCCTTGCAAAAGGGCAAGCCCTTGCCAAAGGGCAAGCCCTTGCCAAATGGGCAAGCCCTTGCAAAAGGACAAGCCCTTGCAAAAGGGCAAGCCCTTGCCAAAGGGCAAGCCCTTGCCAAAGGGCAAGCCCTTGCAAAAGGGCAAGCCCTTGCCAAGGGGCAAGCCCTTGCCAAATGGGCAAGCCCTTGCCAAATGGGCAAGCCCTTGCCAAAGGGCAAGCCCTTGCAAAAGGGCAAGCCCTTGCCAAGGGGCAAGCCCTTGCCAAATGGGCAAGCCCTTGCAAAAGGACAAGCCCTTGCCAAAGGGCAAGCCCTTGCCAAAGGGAAAGCCCTTGCCAAAGGGCAAGCCCTTGCAAAAGGACAAGCCCTTGCCAAAGGGCAAGCCCTTGCAAAAGGACAAGCCCTTGCCAAAGGGCAAGCCCTTGCCAAAGGGAAAGCCCTTGCCAAAGGGCAAGCATCTCCTCAGCAGTGGCAGCAAGCCCTTGAAAAAGGACAAGCCCTTGAAAAAGGGCAAGCTGTGTGCTAAGATCTTCAACAGACTTGGCAATCGTTCTTTGCAAGAGAAGGTTGCTGCAGTTTGTGAGGAGCAAGTGATGATGACAGGCTGGTTAACCATCCAGCAACCCTTGAAAAAGGGTGGGGGCAAGTCACCATCCCTCTGTTCACACATGGTGATGGAGTGGAATATGAGTCCAGGGACAGCTTGATGGTTTGGAGCTTTGGACCCCTCCTCTCCCAAGAACAATCCCTGGACAGCCACTTGCTCATGACAGCCCTTGCAACAAATTAAGTGGCACAGGCCTTCGCTTTGACCCTTGCAAAAGGGTATTGGTCATTGCCAAAAGGAACCAGCCCTTTGCAAAAGGGGACTAACCCTTGCAAAAGGAGCCCTTGCAAAAGGGGATCCCTTGCAAAAGGGAACCAGCCCTTGCAAAAGGGTAGTGTTTTTAGAAATGGCCTCAAGGCTTCTGTGCAGCAAAGCCTGTGAAACACTTCACATGCCTAGAAAAAGTTTGCTGGCTGCAGCTTGCGAAGGTGGGAAAGGGAATGGTAACTGGGCAGGCATACAGGCTTACCTGACATGCATGCCTCTGCAGCTGGTTTGCTTCAAAGCTTTAGGTTTAGTGTGAAAAGTTGTAGAAGATCCAGCCCTTGCAAAAGGGCAAGTTCCAACCCTTGGAAAAGGGTAGCCAAGCCTTGCAAAAGGCAAACCTTTAAAGGTATAGAGAAACCCTTGCAAAAGGGAAACTCCTTGAAAAAGGGTTGGGGTTTTAAAGCCCTTAGCCCTTGAGAAAGGGTGATGAGCAACACGCCTTTCAGCTTGCCTGCGCCATGCCCACCAAACCCTTGGGAAAGGGGCCAGCTGGAAATAAGACATAGAGTCCTTGCAACCATGGACCCCCCAACAGAATATTGGGGAGTCTACCATGAAAGGTGGCTGCAAAATGTAGGTGAGGCAAGCTTTTCTTTGGACCAAAGCTGCTTGATCCAGAGGAAAAACAATGATGGCTTCACATATTTTGCACTTTGGCTGAAGCCAGTTGCTCATGGGTTTCCTGTGGTGCAGCCTCATATTAGCTTGGGCTTGGCCAAATTTCTTACCCATCAAGAACATTGGATTGCAACTATCAGGTCACAAGCTTTCCTGTGGCCAAGGGTAATCAAAGGGCAATTCCAAAGATATGGGCAGCTGAACTTTGCCTTGTTGCAAAACAATGAACTCTCAGCCCTGGTCCAAGTATTGCGAGAAACTCGTGCAAAAGAGTCCTGCAGCACAAAGCAAATGGACAGGGTGCCCCACATCAGCTGGACCCCAATTATGAAGTTTGGCCTTTGAATCATTGCAAAAGGATAATTCCTTGGGAAAGGAGCACCCCTTGGAAAAGGGATGGCTGCCAGGAATGATCCTTGAGAAAGGGCACCCTTTGCAAAAGGGTGGATGGAGCATAAGGGGTGCCCCTTGAGAAAGGGGAAGCTGCCATCCCTTGAGAAAGGGAAACAATGGTCCTTGACAAAGGACACCCCTTGAAAAAGGGATGAGTGGAGCTGATCCTTGGCAAAGGATGCCCCTTGAGAAAGGGACACCTTGGCACACAATCATTGCAAAAGGATTGCCCTTGCAAAAGGGCAATTGCCAAGACTAGCCCTTGAGAAAGGGTGCCCCTTGAAAAAGGGAGTTTGCCACAAGCAATCCTTGAGAAAGGATGTCCCTTGCAAAAGGGAAATTGCCAAAATCAACCCTTGAGAAAGGATGTTCCTTAATGCAAAAGGAAACCCCTTGCAAAAGGGCACTGCCACCTTAGCCCTGGAGCTCTTTGGACATCCCTTGGGAAAGGGAAAGATACCAGCACTGATCCTTGCAAAAGGATAGAACCCTTGCAAAAGGGTAAGTTGCCAGAGGCCCTTGAGAAAGGGCATCCCTTGAGAAAGGACATCCCTTGAAAAAGGACATCCCTTGAAAAAGGGAGTGATGGAGCTAATCCTTGAGAAAGGGTCCTGATCCTTGGCAAAGGATAACACTTTGCCATGAAATTTGTGCATACAACCCTCCAAAGGAGGGGGCTGGTGCTGCAATGTCTGGGGTCCAGAAGGGAAAGGGGAGACAAGTGGAAACATTGGAAAAATATTGATTTTTATATTGATTTTTATATTGATTTTTTATATTGATTTTTGGCTTGCTTTTCAAACCCAGCAAACAAATCAATATAGAAAAATAACACCAAGGGCTCTGAAATCAATATTTTATATTGAAAAAACATTGAAATCAAAAGTGCTTGCCCCATATTGATTGTAATCAATATCGGATGCTCAGGGCACCAAGCCTCTGTCCATCGGTTGGCCCAAAAGACCTGCTCCACCTCGTCCTCTCCTCCTGCTCTCCGCCCGTAGCCTCCTCTTCGCCATTTGCGGAGCCAAACCAAAATTTGAGAGCAAGTGATTGTGGTCCTTCAACCTCGGCACACATTCCGGCCTTGGTGGCCCTCTCCTCCATGATCATCTCCATCACATCACCTGCCCATAGGAGAAGACTTGCCGCCGACTGAGCACCTGTCGCTCGGCATCCTTCACACACCATCTGCTCCATCAGTGCGCCCTTGTTCAGGTCGACCACCGACCGGCCCTGTAGCTTCCAGATCTCCTCCGACGTGAGCTGGCACAAATGACCTGGGGGCCTCTTCCGATCGAAAACGTAGACTGGTTCGACTCCGGCCGCATTCTCCTTCAACTTCGGCCACACTTAAATAATCCCGTTTTTTGTAACTAGTTATGTAAGTTAGGGATGTTACTAAAAGTTAGCTAACTTAGCAATAGTGAAAAAAAGCTGTTTTCACAGGTTTGTGTATAATGTGTCGTATCAAACATTTTTGCCACATGGCATTTCAAGTAAGATTGCCTCTGCAATTTTGCAGCTACATGGAATTGCATGTGCAACCATTGGGGGGCATGCATGTTTGGCCACATATGGCATTGCAAACATGTGTCTTTGCACTTGCAGCCACCTGCCCCACATGCAATCATGAACTGGGAAATCACAACCCAAGTGGTCATCAGCTTCTTTCTCCAATCACCCAAGCTTCCAAGATGTAATCACCAAGAGAAACAACATCTGGACCCAGGCAGCTCAAGCCAACCAAGATAACATAGTTGAAGAGGAACGCCAAAAAGGGAAGCCCAAGAAAAGGAAGGTGGAGAGTGCCCCAGAGGTGATAGAGGTGCCAGTGGGAGATACCACCATTGCCTGCTTGATGCAAGGCAAAAGGCCCACCAAATCTGATTTGGTGGTGCCACTGGAAGAAGACCAGTTGAAGCCAATCTTCTTGCTCCTCCACCAGGACTGAGAGAAGGAGTGTTTGAAGCACAGGAAGGCTTACAACAAGTCCAGGGCCCAAGCTGTGCCAGGTGAAAGTGGAGAACCCAAGGCTTGAACAACATTGCAGGTGGCTTTGGAAAAAAGGAGTCTGCTGTTTCAGGCAACATAGTTTGAGAGTTCTGTTGCCAGATGTGGCATTACAGCTAAATGCAAGTGCTTCACATATAGCCACATTGGCATTGCAGCCTTGCAAACAATCATGGTGAACCATTTTACTTGCCTTGGCCCAGGCAAAAGCTTTTGTAAAGCTAAGCTATCCTTAACCAAAGCCATCCATGTAATCTTGTTTCTTTTTAGAAGGGCACTTTGCCACAGATTCCAAACAGCAGCCATATATACTTCTGGATTTTCGAAAAGAAACCATGGCTGCAGCTGCCATGGTGGTTGACCCAGCTTGTGTTGCTGAAATCAATGCCTTGCTGGGATCCCAGAAGCCAGTGAACCAGATTGTGGACCAGTTGGTGGCTGCCCTCCAAAAATATGGGCTTGCTCACTACCAACCTGGTGTGACACCATCCCAAGTTCTGTGCCATCCCCACAATAGAGCCAGGCAAATGATTTCATGGCTGGACATGTGGGCCAGGAATGAAAAGGCAGTTGCTTGGGGAAAGCATGGCCATGGAGTTGAGCATTGACCCAGCCAAGAGGGAGGAGCAGATCAATGCCAACAAGGCCATCATCCAGGAGGCAGCAGGCTCCATGGCACCCTTGTCTGGCCAAGAACGTTTCTAGGCAGACCTCAAAACAATTTTGTTTTTTCCAACCAAGAGACAAACCTTTCCCTTTGAATTTGCATTTGCTGTTCTTTCCTTGTGCCACTGAGGTTACGTCAGCATCTCTGCTTCCCACACCACTGCATTTTTGAGAGCCATCCAACATGGCTGCACACCAGAAAGTGGACCAGCCATTGAAGTTCCAAGGGATGATCCAGCATGGGACCTGATCCAGAATGGCTGGCAATGGCTGATTTTTAGCCACTTGGTCGAAAAGCAGTGGCCAATGTTACCATCCATGCTCCAAGGGGCCTTGAATTCTGCAAATGCCATCTCCAAAGCTGCCAATGAATTGGAATTGGCAGCCCAGCTAGCCAATTTGTTCCAGCATGGGGTGCCACTCAAGGAAGCCAAGAGCAAAGTCCAAGCCAGCACCACTGTGGAGCCACAGCTTTTGGCAAACCTTTGCTATTTTATCACCCACTATGCTGGAGGTGATACATTTCCATTCATTGATTTCCTGCAGAAATTCAGTGCCTTGCCTGTGTTTGTGCCATTTGGCATTACACCGAAGCCTTGTGGCATTTCATGTGTAACAATGTCTATATATGTTTCCCAGGATTCCCAACATTGTTTCCCATGTGTCTGTGGCTGCCCAGGCAGGAACTTCAACATCCAGCTCCAAGCGGGCCATGAGTCAATCCATGGAAGCAATATACCACTTGGGCTGATGATCCCAAACAGCAAGAATGCCTCATCCCATTTTGGTGGGTCAAGGGCACCAAGGAAAACTCCAACATGGAAATGGGCACCATCACCCATGGTTCCTTCAAAGTACCATGCTTCCAGAATTCCAAGCCCTTGGCTGCCAATGAACTTTTGCAGTACCAGAAGGCAGAGGACACCCAAGAGGACATTCCTGCCCAAGGGAGCCAAGGCAGCGCACCTAAGAAGAGAAGGACCACTTGATTGAAACCAACAAAGGCTTAGCAAGGGTGCACATGTGTTTCTTCCAAATCTGGTGGGGAAAAAAGCTGCTGCTGCATGCTGGGTGCCTTGAGGCATTGCATACCAGTTCCTGGGAATGCAGGTTCAATCTTAAGTTTTTGTAGCATGAATATCTTTTACTTTGGTAATTTTGCCTGTGGAGGCTAAGCAGTTTGGAATTGGGCAGCCAAGTGGCATTCCACCCCCAGTTGTATCATATCCAGCTAGTTGCCCTTTGTGGCATTGCATTTTCTTACCCAATAATTTTGATAAGGCCAGCCAAATTGTGGAATTGCATTTTTAGCCAGCATGGCATTGCATGCAACAATCATGTCATAGCCACACATGGCATTTCAAGTGTGTAGCCATATATGGCATTCCAGTGCTTGGCCAGTGACCTTGGCCATTTCAAGTGTTTGCAATTGCAGCCACTGCTCCAAGCATCCAAGCTGACCCATTGCGAACCCAAGCCTTCTGTGTGTAGCCATGCCATCCATGAAGGTTGCCATGAAGAAGGCCAGTGCCATGGAGAAGCCCATGAAGAAGCCCAGTGCCATGGAGAAGCCCATGAAGAAGCCCAGCGCCAAGGATGGTGGTGTCCCACCACCATTGGTTGGGCCACTGGTGGCACTCCAATTGTGCCCACCCAGGCTGTCCAAGTTGGGTGTGGTGCCACAGGCTGTACCAGCTGGCCAGCTGCCAGGTGTGTGGATTGGCCTGGCTTTCCAGCTACCTGGCCCATGGTACCACCTTGAAGTATGTCCCAGAGCAGGACCAGGAGGTTGCAGCCAAGGTGATGCAGGGCATCCATGAGGCCAGCAGGGCCATCCCCAATGCTTCTGGCATGAAGACCATGAAGAAGACCATGAAGAAGACCATGAAGAAGACCATGAAGGCCAAGAACTGAAGCGCCCATGGGAAGCCAGGACATGGCACTGGTTTTTGAAAAAATGTGCAGCTTGGGCAAGGGTGTGCTGCAGCCATATTGTGGCATTACATTGTATGCAGTGCCATGCTGGCATTCCATCAATTGCCAGCTGTCATTTCCTGCAACCATTTTCACAGTTTGGTTGCCTTCAAGGCATTATATTGGGTACACTGTGCCAGCTCCACTGCATCAACTCCAGTTCTTGCCAGGTATTGGCATTGCATCTCCCAAGATTGCCAGCCAGTGGCATTGCATTGTTTTTCTTTGCCCACTGCTGGCATTACATTTTCATGCCAAGTCATTGAGTGGCATTGCAATTCCATTTGTTGCCATTGGATGGCACTGCATTTCCAAACCTTGCCAGCTTATGGCAGTACATATGTAAATGGGTTTGCATCCACATCTGGTTGTCCCCATGCAATGCCACAATGTTTTTGTTTATATGGAATACATGTGAGATAGTTATGGCTTGTAGTATTCATACAGTCCAATCCATCTAACACCATGCAGAATGTGCAGTAGCATGTCATTGTTTTCATTTACATGATAGCACCATTTGTGCCCAAGACCTTGTTCCAGCCACCTACCATCATTTCATGTCCATGGCATCCTCCCAAGTGCTGACCATTGATGCCTACTCCTTGACACACAAGACCACAGGGGAACCCACATTGCAGATCCATTTCAATGATGGCTCCAAGAAAGAGCAGCTTGTTTTTTTTTGCCACTGCTGGGATGATACCATTGTTTTTTTTTCCATGGGTGTAGTTGCCCATGATTGCACTGTTGTGCCAGCCCAGGTATCCAACTCCACCACTTCATCCAGAAGGTCCAAGGAGTATGTGGGTCCATATCCTCCATGTGGATGACAGCCTGGTCCCATACAAACAGTATTTACCACCAGGGACCAGTGAGGATCCAACTGGCATGCCAGTGGAAATGATTGAAGCCACCAGGCTTGCTAGGCAGCTCAAAGAAGCCAATGCCATGGAAGGCATCCAATTAGCCCACAAATGGTTTTCCTAAACCATGGTTGCAGTGGAGGGAAAAGTGAATTGTGCATTCACCTTAGCCAGTCATGGCATTTCACAGCTGCTTGGGGGCAGGTTCCATGTTTGGCCAACTTTTGGCATTACATTAAGTGTCTTGGTTGGCCACTAAGGTTACCAAGCCTTCTCTGCCTTGAATGGCATTGCAATCCATGTTTACTGCAGTTTTTGTTGTATTGCCTGCCACCTCATGGCATTGAACCATCCATGCAAATTGTTGTATGGTTGTTTGGCAGCACATTTGGTTTCCATGTCATAACATTGATTCATAATCAGATGTGCCCAGTGGTAAACAATATAATATATTCCATGAACCAAAGTTGGACTTGTAGAGAGTGGTGTTGTCCTGGTGTTTCTTCGATGGTGTGTGCCATGAAATGGCATTGCAATTGGCCCAAATGGCATTTCATTGTTTGTGTTACCCATGGTAACCCACAAGGGTTGCTTGTCATAGGCATTGGACATTGTTTCTCTGTATGAATTTTGGCCAAGGTGTCCATTGAACATATGAAACATTTCAAAAATGATATGCATTATGGTTTCAGGAGTTCTCATGTCATCTTCTGGGTTTGGCTATATTGTCTTCATGTATCATTTATTCAATGGGTTTGTTATATTGTTCATGCAGTTGGTTTCATGTTGGTTTCCAGTATTTGGTCATGGTTCAGTAGCTTGCAATTGGTTGCATTTGACTATTGGTTTGATTGCTGAATAGATAGATATATATATATACAATTATATACATATATATATATATGTATATATGTATATATATATATATACAAATTATTTGAGCATTTAAATGTATTGTATAATCATTGTCATAGCTGTTTTGGGTTTGCCAAGCATTGCATGGCATCATTCCATATGGCAATGAATCATTTTGGCTCCAAATTTTGGTTAGGTGCCATTGGTCACCAAGGCATCCAAAGAACGAAACAGATACAAAAAACATCACCAACAATACATTCCAAGCAGGAAAACACCAATAGGATGTCGATGTTCAATATTTTTGTTAAGTTCAGAATTCTGAACTTAAAATTCAAATTTTACTTGTTAAGTTCAGAATTCTGAACTTAACTATTAAATTTTGGCAGTTAAGTTCAGAATTCTGAACTTAACTATCAAATTTTGGTTTCTAAGTTCAGAATTCTGAACTTAACTAAAACAAAATATGTTCATAGTTGCATTTTTACATTTATTTAAGTCATATTTTCATTTTTCATATATCTATATAAGATTATTACTAAACAACTAAATGCAAATAATTAAACATACAATTAACAATACAGGCAGCTTTCACCAAAGCAAAATTTTCACCACAGTTTCACCATTCGACCAGCCATGATGTACCAAAGGACCCTCCAGAAGTTGACCACTGAAGAGTTCATCACTGAAAGTGATGATGAGGTGGTTGCCATGTGGGAAAGGAACCACATGGCAAACCATGATGAGAGCACAGACCAAGCCTACATGAATGCCATCCAAGAGGTACATCAGATGTCCATGGAGGACTCCATGGAAGCCAACTTAGTTATGGAGGATATAGCCATAGAGATCCAGTGGTACAAAGACATGGATGAACCCATGGAACCAGCAGAGGATGCATGGGCCAGGTACTGGCACCATCATCCCAGACCAGGCCAGGAGGTACCAGCAGACCAAGGTGCAGATGCATCCAGCAGCACCATCCCCACAGCAGGTGCAGCAAAAGCCAAATCCATTGGCACCACTGCCAAGGCAAAAGCACCAAAAGTAGGAGCCAAAGGCAGCTGTGCCAGTCCAGCAAATGCAATGCCAGGTGGTGCCATGCCAGCCACATCTGATGCAGCAGCATCAGCATCCAGACCAGATGGTTCCAGCAGGCCACCAGAGCCAGCCATACCACCAAGAACTTCCAGGCCAGATGCAGCCACCAACCAAGCCAGGCCAGCAAAGAGCAATTACCAAACAGGTTGGAGGGCCAAGATGGTGTGGATGCTGGCCATGTGTGAGAACCATGATTGGGATGCCCTGGCAGCCAAGATTCCCATCTTGTGGGACCAGCTGGAGAAACCACATGGCTTCCAGGAGTGATGCCCCAGGGAAGTGGGCCACTAAAGCCCAGGAATGGCTCCAAAACTACCACCAGCGCAAATGGTGGAAGCTCCAGCACCTCCATGAATGGTGGGCCTTGGATTCCACCCTGAGGGCTGACATAGCCAACCACCATGAGGCCATGGAGAACCAAGGGTACGACCCAAGGCAGCCAGACTGGGCAAGGAACCAGTAGAGACCACTTCCAAGCATGCACCCAAAAAAGAGTGTGCTTGCCAGCCTCTGTGTCAGCCACCTGAAGCCTTCCATGGCATTACATGCTGTCAGCCCGCAATGGCATTTCCAACCCTGGCAATGTTACAATTCAAGCAAGTGACCAAGTTTGATGCTACTCTGCCATTGATGGCGTTTCACAATCAGCCACTCATGGCATGTCCTAGGTTAATGTCATCCAATTGTTTGCCATTGTTGCTTCTTTGAATACCCGCAGACCGATACCATCAGCATTGCTTCTTTCCCAAATAGCATGCCAGCACATGCCCCATATATAAGATTGGTTCCCTCTTTGGTTTGTTGCAAGCATTCCCAAGTTGCATGTGCCGACCTTATGGCATTAAGTTCTCCAAGAATACATTGCACCTATAACCAATGTCAGAATTCAGCACAATTTCTTTGTGGGTCACAGGCACACTGTTTCCAGAGGCCACCCTAATCACTGTATGCTTTTTCTTACAGTTCAAGCACCAGCCAGCAGCCCAAGCTTACCAATGCTTCTGAGAGCCAGGGATGACTCAACTTTGGAAAGCTGCAGATTTTGTCCAGGAGCTAGACCATTTGGAAAGCTTGCACATAGCCACCCAGAAAGCAAGTTGGTGCAGACACTGGCCACATCCTTGTGTGCCAAGTTTGCAAGCATCCAAGGAATGGACAAGCACCACCATCATCCAAGTCCTGGAGAAGCTCGACCAAGACAGCTTGCCCAATGATTTGAAGAAGACAATCCAAGATGCCATTGACCAAATAGACTTGGCTGGCACTGGCCACTTGAAGACAGTCATTGCAGGCCAGCACATTGAAGGCTTTAGCCACTATGTGTCCAAGGAGGATTGGGCCAGGATGGACCAAGCACCAGACAACACAGTGCATACCAAGCACCAGCCAACACAGTGCATACCAGGTCCATTATTGCCTCCAGGTTGAGATCCATGGGGTTTGTTTCCTTGAAGGAAGCTACCAAGGTGGAAGCCATGTCTGTGGTGTTCTTTTGTTTGGTCCACAAAGGCCAACAACCACAGCCATCCCCACAAACCAGGTATGCCTTGGTGGAAGAGTTTGCTGCTGTGTTTGCCAAGACTCCACCAGGCACAGTGCCAAGTGCGAACAGATTCCCAGCCAACCCAGCTAAACTTGGAAAGGCATGGCTAGACCAAGTCTATGGTGCGGATGAGCCAGCCATGGTGTCCATTGCTGGTGGCTGGAAAAGCATGGTGACTTGATTGCGTTAATGTTTTTTTACAGCATGCCACATGGCATTTCAAGTAAGATTGCCTCTGCAATTTTGCAGCTACATAGAATTGCATGTGCAACCATTGGGGGGCATGCATGTTTGGCCACATATGGCATTGCAAACATGTGTCTTTGCACTTGCAGCCACCTGCCCCACATGCAATCATGAGCTGGGAAATCACAACCCAAGTGGTCATCAGCTTCTTTCTCCAATCACCCAAGCTTCCAAGATGTAATCACCAAGAGAAACAACATCTGGACCCAGGCAGCTCAAGCCAACCAAGATAACATAGTTGAAGAGGAACGCCAAAAAGGGAAGCCCAAGAAAAGGAAGGTGGAGAGTGCCCCAGAGGTGATAGAGGTGCCAGTGGGAGATACCACCATTGCCTGCTTGATGCAAGGCAAAAGGCCCACCAAATCTGATTTGGTGGTGCCACTGGAAGAAGACCAGTTGAAGCCAATCTTCTTGCTCCTCCACCAGGACTGAGAGAAGGAGTGTTTGAAGCACAGGAAGGCTTACAACAAGTCCAGGGCCCAAGCTGTGCCAGGTGAAAGTGGAGAACCCAAGGCTTGAACAACATTGCAGGTGGCTTTGGAAAAAAGGAGTCTGCTGTTTCAGGCAACATAGTTTGAGAGTTCTGTTGCCAGATGTGGCATTACAGCTAAATGCAAGTGCTTCACATATAGCCACATTGGCATTGCAGCCTTGCAAGCAATCATGGTGAACCATTTTACTTGCCTTGGCCCAGGCAAAAGCTTTTGTAAAGCTAAGCTATCCTTAACCAAAGCCATCCATGTAATCTTGTTTCTTTTTAGAAGGGCACTTTGCCACAGATTCCAAACAGCAGCCATATATACTTCTGGATTTTCGAAAAGAAACCATGGCTGCAGCTGCCATGGCGGTTGACCCAGCTTGTGTTGCTGAAATCAATGCCTTGCTGGGATCCCAGAAGCCAGTGAACCAGATTGTGGACCAGTTGGTGGCTGCCCTCCAAAAATATGGGCTTGCTCACTACCAACCTGGTGTGACACCATCCCAAGTTCTGTGCCATCCCCACAATAGAGCCAGGCAAATGATTTCATGGCTGGACATGTGGGCCAGGAATGAAAAGGCAGTTGCTTGGGGAAAGCATGGCCATGGAGTTGAGCATTGACCCAGCCAAGAGGGAGGAGCAGATCAATGCCAACAAGGCCATCATCCAGGAGGCAGCAGGCTCCATGGCACCCTTGTCTGGCCAAGAACGTTTCTAGGCAGACCTCAAAACAATTTTGTTTTTTCCAACCAAGAGACAAACCTTTCCCTTTGAATTTGCATTTGCTGTTCTTTCCTTGTGCCACTGAGGTTACGTCAGCATCTCTGCTTCCCACACCACTGCATTTTTGAGAGCCATCCAACATGGCTGCACACCAGAAAGTGGACCAGCCATTGAAGTTCCAAGGGATGATCCAGCATGGGACCTGATCCAGAATGGCTGGCAATGGCTGATTTTTAGCCACTTGGTCGAAAAGCAGTGGCCAATGTTACCATCCATGCTCCAAGAGGCCTTGAATTCTGCAAATGCCATCTCCAAAGCTGCCAATGAATTGGAATTGGCAGCCCAGCTAGCCAATTTGTTCCAGCATGGGGTGCCACTCAAGGAAGCCAAGAGCAAAGTCCAAGCCAGCACCACTGTGGAGCCACAGCTTTTGGCAAACCTTTGCTATTTTATCACCCACTATGCTGGAGGTGATACATTTCCATTCATTGATTTCCTGGAGAAATTCAGTGCCTTGCCTGTGTTTGTGCCATTTGGCATTACACCGAAGCCTTGTGGCATTTCATGTGTAATCAATGTCTATATATGTTTCCCAGGATTCCCAACATTGTTTCCCATGTGTCTGTGGCTGCCCAGGCAGGAACTTCAACATCCAGCTCCAAGCGGGCCATGAGCCAATCCATGGAAGCAATATACCACTTGGGCTGATGATCCCAAACAGCAAGAATGCCTCATCCCATTTTGGTGGGTCAAGGGCACCAAGGAAAACTCCAACATGGAAATGGACACCATCACACATGGTTCCTTCAAAGTACCATGCTTCCAGAATTCCAAGCCCTTGGCTGCCAATGAACTTTTGCAGTACCAGAAGGCAGAGGACACCCAAGAGGACATTCCTGCCCAAGGGAGCCAAGGCAGCGCACCTAAGAAGAGAAGGACCACTTGATTGAAACCAACAAAGGCTTAGCAAGGGTGCACATGTGTTTCTTCCAAATCTGGTGGGGAAAAAAGCTGCTGCTGCATGCTGGGTGCCTTGAGGCATTGCATACCAGTTCCTGGGAATGCAGATTCCATTTTAAGTTTTTGTAGCATGAATATCTTTTACTTTGGTAATTTTGCTTGTGGAGGCTAAGCAGTTTGGAATTGGGCAGCCAAGTGGCATTCCACCCCCAGTTGTATCATATCCAGCTAGTTGCCCTTTGTGGCATTGCATTTTCTTACCCAATAATTTTGATAAGGCCAGCCAAATCGTGGAATTGCATTTTTAGCCAGCATGGCATTGCATGCAACAATCATGTCATAGCCACACATGGCATTTCAAGTGTGTAGCCATATATGGCATTCCAGTGCTTGGCCAGTGACCTTGGCCATTTCAAGTGTTTGCAATTGCAGCCACTGCTCCAAGCATCCAAGCTGACCCATTGCGAACCCAAGCCTTCTGTGTGTAGCCATGCCATCCATGAAGGTTGCCATGAAGAAGGCCAGTGCCATGGAGAAGCCCATGAAGAAGCCCAGTGCCATGGAGAAGCCCATGAAGAAGCCCAGCGCCAAGGATGGTGGTGTCCCACCACCATTGGTTGGGCCACTGATGGCACTCCAATTGTGCCCACCCAGGCTGTCCAAGTTGGGTGTGGTGCCACAGGCTGTACCAACTGGCCAGCTGCCAGGTGTGTGGATTGGCCTGGCTTTCCAGCTACCTGGCCCATGGTACCACCTTGAAGTATGTCCCAGAGCAGGACCAGGAGGTTGCAGCCAAGGTGATGCAGGGCATCCATGAGGCCAGCAGGGCCATCCCCAATGCTTCTGGCATGAAGACCATGAAGAAGACCATGAAGAAGACCATGAAGAAGACCATGAAGAAGACCATGAAGAAGACCATGAAGGCCAAGAACTGAAGCGCCCATGGGAAGCCAGGACATGGCACTGGTTTTTGAAAAAATGTGCAGCTTGGGCAAGGGTGTGCTGCAGCCATATTGTGTGTGGCATTACATTGTATGCAGTGCCATGCTGGCATTCCATCAATTGCCAGCTGTCATTTCCTGCAACCATTTTCACAGTTTGGTTGCCTTCAAGGCATTATATTGGGTACACTGTGCCAGCTCCACTGCATCAACTCCAGTTCTTGCCAGGTATTGGCATTGCATCTCCCAAGATTGCCAGCCAGTGGCATTGCATTGTTTTTCTTTGCCCACTGCTGGCATTACATTTTCATGCCAAGTCATTGAGTGGCATTGCAATTCCATTTGTTGCCATTGGATGGCACTGCATTTCCAAACCTTGCCAGCTTATGGCAGTACATATGTAAATGGGTTTGCATCCACATCTGGTTGTCCCCATGCAATGCCACAATGTTTTTGTTTATATGGAATACATGTGAGATAGTTATGGCTTGTAGTATTCATACAGTCCAATCCATCTAACACCATGCAGAATGTGCAGTAGCATGTCATTGTTTTCATTTACATGATAGCACCATTTGTGCCCAAGACCTTGTTCCAGCCACCTACCATCATTTCATGTCCATGGCATCCTCCCAAGTGCTGACCATTGATGCCTACTCCTTGACACACAAGACCACAGGGGAACCCACATTGCAGATCCATTTCAATGATGGCTCCAAGAAAGAGCAGCTTGTTTTTTTTTGCCACTGCTGGGATGATACCATTGTTTTTTTTTCCATGGGTGTAGTTGCCCATGATTGCACTGTTGTGCCAGCCCAGGTATCCAACTCCACCACTTCATCCAGAAGGTCCAAGGAGTATGTCTGTCCATATCCTCCATGTGGATGACAGCCTGGTCCCATACAAACAGTATTTACCACCAGGGACCAGTGAGGATCCAACTGGCATGCCAGTGGAAATGATTGAAGCCACCAGGCTTGCTAGGCAGCTCAAAGAAGCCAATGCCATGGAAGGCATCCAATTAGCCCACAAATGGTTTTCCTAAACCATGGTTGCAGTGGAGGGAAAAGTGAATTGTGCATTCACCTTAGCCAGTCATGGCATTTCACAGCTGCTTGGGGGCAGGTTCCATGTTTGGCTAAGTTTTGGCATTACATTAAGTGTCTTGGTTGGCCACTAAGGTTACCAAGCCTTCTCTGCCTTGAATGGCATTGCAATCCATGTTTACTGCAGTTTTTGTGGTATTGCCTGCCACCTCATGGCATTGAACTATCCATGCAAATTGTTGTATGGTTGTTTGGCAGCACATTTGGTTTCCATGTCATAACATTGATTCATAATCAGATGTGCCCAGTGGTAAACAATATAATATATTCCATGAACCAAAGTTGGACTTGTAGAGAGTGGTGTTGTCCTGGTGTTTCTTCGATGGTGTGTGCCATGAAATGGCATTGCAATTGGCCCAAATGGCATTTCATTGTTTGTGTTACCCATGGTAACCCACAAGGGTTGCTTGTCATAGGCATTGGACATTGTTTCTCTGTATGAATTTTGGCCAAGGTGTCCATTGAACATATGAAACATTTCAAAAATGATATGCATTATGGTTTCAGGAGTTCTCATGTCATCTTCTGGGTTTGGCTATATTGTTTTCATGTATCATTTATTCAATGGGTTTGTTATATTGTTCATGCAGTTGGTTTCATGTTGGTTTCCAGTATTTGGTCATGGTTCAGTAGCTTGCAATTGGTTGCATTTGACTATTGGTTTGATTGCTGAATATAGATATATATATAATTATATATACATATATATATATATATATATATGTATATATATACAAATTATTTGAGCATTTAAATGTATTGTATAATCATTGTCATAGCTGTTTTGGGCTTGCCAAGCATTGCATGGCATCATTCCATATGGCAATGAATCATTTTGGCTCCAAATTTTGGTTAGGTGCCATTGGTCACCAAGGCATCCAAAGAACGAAACAGATACAAAAAAAATCGCCAACAATACATTCCAAGCAGGAAAACACCAATAGGATGTCGATGTTCAATATTTTGTTAAGTTCAGAATTCTGAACTTAAAATTCAAATTTTACTTGTTAAGTTCAGAATTCTGAACTTAACTATTAAATTTTGGCAGTTAAGTTCAGAATTCTGAACTTAACTATCAAATTTTGGTTTCTAAGTTCAGAATTCTGAACTTAACTAAAACAAAATATGTTCAAAATAGTTGCATTTTTACATTTATTTAAGTCATATTTTCATTTTTCATATATCTATATAAGATTATTACTAAACAACTAAATGCAAATAATTAAACATACAATTAACAATACAGGCAGCTTTCACCAAAGCAAAATTTTCACCACAGTTTCACCATTCGACCAGCCATGATGTACCAAAGGACCCTCCAGAAGTTGACCACTGAAGAGTTCATCACTGAAAGTGATGATGAGGTGGTTGCCATGTGGGAAAGGAACCACATGGCAAACCATGATGAGAGCACAGACCAAGCCTACATGAATGCCATCCAAGAGGTACATCAGATGTCCATGGAGGACTCCATGGAAGCCAACTTAGTTATGGAGGATATAGCCATAGAGATCCAGTGGTACAAAGACATGGATGAACCCATGGAACCAGCAGAGGATGCATGGGCCAGGTACTGGCACCATCATCCCAGACCAGGCCAGGAGGTACCAGCAGACCAAGGTGCAGATGCATCCAGCAGCACCATCCCCACAGCAGGTGCAGCAAAAGCCAAATCCATTGGCACCACTGCCAAGGCAAAAGCACCAAAAGTAGGAGCCAAAGGCAGCTGTGCCAGTCCAGCAAATGCAATGCCAGGTGGTGCCATGCCAGCCACATCTGATGCAGCAGCATCAGCATCCAGACCGTTCCAGCAGGCCACCAGAGCCAGCCATACCACCAAGAACTTCCAGGCCAGATGTAGCCACCAACCAAGCCAGGCCAGCAAAGAGCAATTACCAAACAGGTTGGAGGGCCAAGATGGTGTGGATGCTGGCCATGTATGAGAACCATGATTGGGATGCCCTGGAAGCCAAGATTCCCATCTTGTGGGACCAGCTGGAGAAACCACATGGCTTCCAGGAGTGATGCCCCAGGGAAGTGGGCCACTAAAGCCCAGGAATGGCTCCAAAACTACCACCAGCGCAAATGGTGGAAGCTCCAGCACCTCCATGAATGGTGGACCTTGGATTCCACCCTGAGGGCTGACATAGCCAACCACCATGAGGCCATGGAGAACCAAGGGTACGACCCAAGGCAGCCAGACTGGGCAAGGAACCAGTAGAGACCACTTCCAAGCATGCACCCAAAAAAGAGTGTGCTTGCCAGCCTCTGTGTCAGCCACCTGAAGCCTTCCATGGCATTACATGCTGTCAGCCCGCAATGGCATTTCCAACCCTGGCAATGTTACAATTCAAGCAAGTGACCAAGTTTGATGCTACTCTGCCATTGATGGCGTTTCACAATCAGCCACTCATGGCATGTCCTAGGTTAATGTCATCCAATTGTTTGCCATTGTTGCTTCTTTGAATACCCGCAGACCGATACCATCAGCATTGCTTCTTTCCCAAATAGCATGCCAGCACATGCCCCATATATAAGATTGGTTCCCTCTTTGGTTTGTTGCAAGCATTCCCAAGTTGCATGTGCCAACCTTATGGCATTAAATTCTCCAAGAATACATTGCACCTATAACCAATGTCAGAATTCAGCACAATTTCTTTGTGGGTCACAGGCACACTGTTTCCAGAGGCCACCCTAATCACTGTATGCTTTTTCTTACAGTTCAAGCACCAGCCAGCAGCCCAAGCTTACCAATGCTTCTGAGAGCCAGGGATGACTCAACTTTGGAAAGCTGCAGATTTTGTCCAGGAGCTAGACCATTTGGAAAGCTTGCACATAGCCACCCAGAAAGCAAGTTGGTGCAGACACTGGCCACATCCTTGTGTGCCAAGTTGCAAGCATCCAAGGAATGGACAAGCACCACCATCATCCAAGTCCTGGAGA